ACATCATTCATATTCCTTTCCAATAAAAAAACGCTTCAGAAGGTAATATAAAAGTATTAAGAAAATACAGCCAAATCTGAAAGTGATGTATTTGGAATTTAATAAAAATAAACGAAAAATTTTAAGAGTAATCTGCTTTATATCAATCAAAAGAAAGCAAGCAATGTCGACGAAATTACAGCTTCTCTCTTCTTCTCTTTTCTGGGAAGTTGAATTTCACTTGACCAAGTATAATTATATCCAAGTCACAAGATTGCATGAAACTGTAAAGAAATAAAATGTAAAAATATCGCAGCATGGGCTGAAAGGAGAATTTTCTTATGCATTCCTTATGATTGTTTAAAATTAAATAGATCATTAATTGATATACAAACTGTGCCATTCATATCAAATCATTACCGCATGTTAACTTATAAAACATAATTACAATGCTTGAACGAAGATGGATGCAATCATATGAAATTTTATCCGCTCGTTGAATATACGAAATACCTTAAATATGAGCGGTCAATGATGAATAGCTTCTTAATATTTTCTACCCTGGCTGGGCACTAAAACGGGCGATGCTTCTTTTCCTCTGGCGAACCTTTCTGTATTCACTAGGAAATCAGCGAAAAAAATTTGCTCTGGCTGGCTAGTATGTATAATCCTGCTATATCTAATGAAATTTAGCCAGTGAGAGTGGAAGATATTAGGAAGCTATTTGCGTTTTGTTTGTGAGATATACCCGACACCAAGTAGACAAAATTTCACACGATTGCATCCACCTTTGTTTAAATTGTTTAAGTTACAGAGTTGCTTGATTTGATCTTGTCTTTCATCAAAAATTTGCGGATGGCGGCTAAATCGTGAAGGACCAATGAAGACCTGAAATGATACGGTCTAATATGGGTTTAGGTGGAAAAAGAAGTGGCTTCAGTTACTTTCAATTCTGGCATCGGAAACCTTGGAGGCTTTCGTCAGAGAGCAAGCCAAACCAGTAATGGTGCGGGGTATTAAAAGAGCAGCAAGAAATTAATAAAATTGTGCAACTTCGTCAAATTTTGCCATTTGAAAATAGAAATACCACAAAATACTCAATCCCAAGCATCATCATTATTGCAAAAAAAAGTGGTTTCGAGTGACAGTTCTCATTAAAGATTTTTGAGAAGTCAAGTCAAGTTTAGAAATACATAGCATACCGGTGGTTAATAGCAAGATTAATTCCACCGAAAATCGAAAATGTCCCAGGTTTAAATGCGGGCAATGCATTATATCAGGCTACAGTGTCGTTATAAAATAAACAAGAATAAAATGATTAAATTCGGATCACCTATGTTCCACGCCTTGCAGGAGTAAATCCGCCTTTCAAAAACTGTGTGATCCTGTCCACTCACTCACTCTCTTGCAAAATATATCGCAAAAGTGTCTGTTCCGATAAGTTAGCAGAAAGAGCCTAGATGATAATGGTGAACTCCTCATAGAGGGCAGAAAAAAAGAACTTTTGTGGAAATCATCAATATAACCATATTCATACCTAAAAAAATCGAAAGTTTTGCAAATATGTATGCTGATATTAACATTTATTTCATATTTAATTCTTTTCATGCTGCATAACTTGCCAAGAAAATAATAAAAGACCTTATGTGTAACTAATTCTTGTGCTCGGTGGGTCTTTGAAACCTGAAATGCCCTACGTTCAATGTTTGTATATTGGTCGGAATGAGAATGGTCGACATGTCGCTTCAAATGGAATTATGGAATTATTGGTTCAATTCCGCTTCCTTGACAGATCTTCATAGGTTCCATGAAAGTGTGATTTGAGAGACCGCTTCTACTTTAATCCTCAAATGATTTCTTTCGTTAAAAAACGTATTGTTCCAAAGGTGAGTGCGAAGTGATGCGTGCTTTTAAGGGGAACTTTTAAGGGGAAAGGGAACCAAGAACTTCGTCATGATATTCGATCACTACGCCCAATAATTGTTTGCCTTTAATGTGTTTTGAATGATTTGTCTTTAGGAAACAATGGATAGAACAATTTTCAAAATTCAAATATTTGCTTTTTTCATCCTTTTATGAGGAAACTGTCAAATAATAATAAAAATTGGTTGAAATAAAATTTGTAAAAACTGGGAAGTTCATTATTTCCTCCATTATTTTCCGAAAAATCCGTGGAAAAACAAAACTCTTTCTTATCTCCTGCGGGTGGTAAAGATCGTCCTCAATTTCAGATCCTCTACTAGAGGTCTGGGAGAATGAGGGCTCTGCACACTATTTCTTAAACATCTAGCAAAGATATTGGGATGTAATTATGAATGGAAAAATGTGAGCCGATGGTTGCAAAGAGAGGAAAAGTAGTAATGAATGAGGATGGACCTAGAATCAGGACATATATTAGCTAAGTACCTTGATATCCCATAGTTATATGATAAGGGAGCAAGGAAAATTTCAACATTTAAATATCACCAAAGGATAAGACAAATCAGCCAGCTCAGTGGGAAGAACAAAATCCATGCCATAAGCATTTATACTCTCCCAACCATCAGAATTTTGAGGATGGTTAAAGGATGACATAGAGGCTGTTGATATGAAGTCTTGGAAACTCACAATGCATGGAAATTTTCATCCCAAGCCTGAGATTGTACACTAGCCAGAAGGAAGGTGGATGGAGCTCCGTTAATGTTAGTGTGAAAACAAATATCTTGAATGAAATCCGAAGCATATAAGAATACCTCAGAAAAATGGCGCCAAAGGATGAGCTATTGAGAGAATGCCTGAAGTGTCTACAGATATTGAAAAAAGACCAAATAGAGGAATACCAAGTTCCAAGGCAATGCAAAACTTTGCATGGGCTACATTATCGATAGATAGCTGAGATAGTTGACAGTAAAAAATCCTACCAGTGGATGGAGAAAGTTGGACTAAAAGGCAACATTAAGGCATTGATTATAGGAACACAAAAGCGAATACTAAGCACCAGATCTATCAGGCACTAGACAGGACTTTAGATGCAGATGTGAAAAATGCCCCCGAAACCTCCGAAAAACATAACATGATGTAAAATGCAAGAAAGAACAACATATACTGAAAGTCATAACTAAGTAGCTGGCATCATCTCCAGGAATATTTGCTGGGTATATAACTTAGACTCTCTCAAGGCTAAATGGGAGCTTCCTCAGAAAATCGCAGAGAATAATAAGACGAGGACCTGTGGAACTTCTCCATCCAGACAGACAAACAAAAACTGGCCAATCAATTAGTTATAGGCATGGAAGTAGACAAAAATCGGAATTGGAAATTGGCATTGATGATTAATATAACAATACCAATTGCAGGAACGTCAGGAAAAAGGAGTATGAGAAATTAGAGAAATATCAGGGTCTGAAAGAGGAATTAAAGAAGATGTGGAAAGCGAAGGCCAAAGTAATCCCAGTGATAATTGGATCTGTGTACTAGGAAAGCAGCTCCAACAGATTCCCAGAAAAATATTAAATATCCCTAAAGTGCTCTTAAAAAAAAAGAGCTCGTAAGAGAACTGTTTGTAAAAATAGTGCTCAGAACCGTAAATCTTAGACCTCTAGTAGAAGAGTCGAGCTTGAAGAAGATTCGTATCACCTACATGGAATTTCTTCAAGAATCTTCTTATTTTTTTACAAAAATAATTTTTTTTGTATAGCTGATGTTTGAAATTTGATGCATTAGCGAACTTAAAATATTCACACACTTTTTATGAAATATTCGAATGAAGAATGATCTTCTCAGATTAGAGGACTAAACCAATTATTTCTTTAAGTGCTTATACTGCGAGCTAGTAAACCATTTTCGACTTTAAATCACATATTTTTACTTCGGGGCATCAGTATCGCTATTCTGTGACTCTGGAGTAAAGACCTGTTATTAAAAAACCTGCCTGCATGGCTCTGGCGACTCACCTTCTATTAATTTTGTAAATATAGCGATTTATTGTCTAAATTTTTAGTTGAATTCAATAATTTAATAATTAAAATTCCATTAAAATTTTATTAAATTTCTTCGAAATTCTTCGAAATTCCTTTTTAAAATTTTAGCGTTCAGCTCATTTATCAAGAAAGGGAAAATTTCTTGAAAAATTTTATTTTTTTTGATTACAAAAAGCGATCGCCATTTTTCTCAAAATTATTGGGCAACATCAACAAATATTTTTCATACATTTTTCAAAAACTGTTCGTCTCTCTTCCCATTTTATTAAATCAGTTAAAATTTTTTTTAATTTCAACGTTTTAATCTCGTCAAAAACAAGATAGCTGATGAACAATGACTCAAATTGTTGGGTTTTGGAGGGTTTTGGAGGCAAAAATAGGGTTCTTAAATAAATCTATTATTAAAATTTCGGGCGACTGACTACTCACTGACTCACTTATACTTTTATAATCGTAGCCAGTCGAGCCAACCTGGCCAGAAATGGTGAAATTTATTTCCCTTATTTTATAAGAACGGATTTTCTTTAAAATCAACTTAAAGGTAAATATTATTTATATAAATGAAAATTGCAAATTATTCGTGGAAAGAGAAATATTGCAGAATATGAAAAGTTACCATTCTCAAATGGATGAGAATAATTTCCGTTTTCTTAATCGTCTTTAATCTCAATATAATCGTTTTCTCAGATTTTATTTTAAGAACACGAAATTCATTTCTTATATGCTGCAAGATTAGTGGTTCTAAAAATCCTGAACACCTTTGAAAGCTTCAGACCACAGACTGTTTAGAGGTTCGTAAAAATATTGGAAGATGTGGCAATAACTTAGAAATTGATGAAAAATTTAATCAATTTATAAATAATTTTTATGCTTTCGATTCTTCTGAAGAATTCCCATGGATTTCGAGTTTTTTTCCTCTTTTAAAATAACAAGTTTTCTTAATTGATGAAAGAAATCGCTATCGATGGCGAAACTTCATTTTGAAGAGCTTTTTTTCGCAAATGCAATTCAGCTGAGAGGAGATATACATCAAGAAAATTTTTAGCTCATAGGAAATATATAATGCAAATATCTGCTGAAAAGACTAGTGGAACATATAAAGATTCATTTAACGAAGAAAGTTCACCTGACAAAGCAGAGAAGGTCGTCAAGCTCAGTAAGTAATTTTCATAATATTTCTTGTTTTCAATTGAATTTTATAGTAATGATATTTATCCTTCTGAAATATTCTGAAATCGCTTCCACTTTATTTTAATAGAATGTATTATTAGTTTATGCACCTATAAATAAATGATCGTTGATTTTCTTAACTAAACTTGAATTTTTTTAGCCTTTTCTTAAGCTAAATCATTACGCCAATTCACCACCACTTAAGCCTCAATAATGGAAAAAATCCATCACTCAGCCATATTGTCTAATTTAATCAATCAAATATTTAGCACAACCAAAAAGCGAAAAATTTTCTGCTGGAACTAATGAACCAATTGATAAAAATAATATGATATTCTTGATAATGTTATTACATGGAGTCGCTATACTAATACCTTGGTCGAGCTTTATGACAATCGCTCCAGTGGTAAATTTTTATTTCTTCTATTTCCCATCATAATTTTAATAATTATCAATATTTTTATTAGAAAAGATTCAAAAAATGATTCTCTTTTCATATTTGAAATTAATTTGAGACAAAATCGTTGAAAATCGAATTTGATTTATTATTTTTTAAAAAGGTGGAAAAATTCGCAAAGACAACTGATTGTTTTTTGATTAAAACTGGTTATAAACTGAAATATCCAATAAATATTAATTTAAGTGCATTGCTCCATTTTTCTTTTAGCTTTATAACTGCTGAATGATAAAAAAACGATAAAAAAACAGGGATAAATATAATAAATAAATGTAATAAATAACAATAATAAATACTTCAAAAGGAAATTTTGCCTTAATTTAGTATTACACTTGTTATAAATTTCGAAAATTCGATGAATATGGTATTGAAGATACGACGTATTCGCATAACTTTTTCTCATTTATTGCTCTTGCTTCGCAAGGACCGAATTTACTCCTTAATTTCTTGAATCTTTTTTTTACATTCAGGTCAGTAAGGTATATTCCCAATCCTCCTTTAGCAAGTCGATTTTCATCAAAATTCAGATTTAATGAAAGGAATTTTTAGCTTTATCGACTATAATTTTAGTTAATGTGCAGAACAGTTGAGTGACTGCTGCTTATCACTTATCATTTCAAGCATCGTGCCACTGGTAGAAGTTAATTATCATTTAAAATTCCCGTGTTTTTGAGGACCTTATATCCCTTAATGTATCTTAGCTCTCTGGCATCCTATTGGCAGTTACAAGGACAAGCATAACCACAAATAGTGAGAGCTAATTATTTATTTAATTGTACCACAATTTTTATTTGTTTTATAATAAAATTTTTTCAGCTATGGACTTGGAAAACGAATTTTGGTTTCTGTTTCTATAATTGCTACAATATGTTGTACAACAATTATCTTTGTATTCATTGATAGTTCAAATTGTGCGTTTTAGCTATGATATTTAAGTTACGAATTGCTGAAAAATAAAAAATAACGATTTCAGGGGTTCAAGAATTCTTTTGGATCACAATGCTATCAATCGTCATACTACATTCAGCAAATGGTATTTTTCAGAATAGTTTATTTGGAATAGCAGCGAATTTACCGCATAAAATGACAACGGCAATTATGATCGGGAGTAATTTATGCGGGATTTACACGGCTGTCCTAGCTCTAATAGCTATCACCAGTAAGTTGTTAGTTAATACAAAATATTGGTCGTCTATTATTTAGTCGTGAACAATACCAATAATATTGACAAACTGGTACTCATTCATTACCTAGTCCATGGCGATTTAGAGTCATTGGAAAGAATATAAATGTGAAAGAATCATGAATCATAAAAAAGGATTAAAAAGCGAGTATAAGAAGAGAAAGCGAGTATAAGAGAAGCGAGTTATCAATGAGAAAAAAATGTGTCAACAGGACAAAACATAGATGAGGGAGAAAAAAGATAGGAGTGAGCGAGAATATATATATATAGATGTGGTAACTTCTTTGGATCATTTAACCAACAATTGCTTATAACTTTTGTAAGTTTTAAAATACATTTTAAGTGTCTCCATCACCGAAAATTTCGGCGACTATGTTTTTCTCAATATCACTTATCACTATTTTACTATGCGCTGTATCATTCATTTATCTTTCCAAATCAGTGAGCCTTTTTTTCTACAGTTTCTTTTTTAATTTCATCATCATTCATAGGTGCTACCATTATATTCAGTATATTTGTGCCTAAACTGGTTAGCGCTCACCATTTATGGCTAACCTTATCATGCACTGTTAGTGCGAGAAATTTTTGCTAGGGAATCACTTGGCGGATATATAGGTGGACCGACCAGCATCGATTTTTAGTGGTACTTTTACTTTTATCAGAATCCAAACTCTGACGCAATTTAAATAACCATTCGGCCACCTTATCTCCACATTTGTGCCTAAAATCAAATTCAGTAAAACCGCACATAAAAGGTAGAATATTGCTGAAATGAAATGAAACTGAAAATTTTTATTGGAATAGCGATATTATTTATCTATCTACCAAATATTTTTTAGCCATATTATTTATATCACATGAAGAATGCTGAAAAAAAACAAACATCATCGAATGTGGAATCAGAAAATACGGTAGCACTGAAATGGAAAGTATACAAGGAAATATGGAAAGAGGTCAGGATTCTCTAACCGAACTAAGTAAAGGTGGTTAGCCCGGACCATTTCAATTCGTTCCTTTCGCATTTAATACAATTAACTCTGCGTAAGAATCACTTTAGAAGTACCTGTCACTCACCGCACTGTTCGATTTTCCTTCTAATGGCAGTTTTACCGTGTCGAAGAATATCGAATTCTTAATGTTTAGTATCAGATGCAGCAACACCACCACTCGACTATCTACCATTCTTTTCATGAGTTAATAAATCGTTCACAAAGGCCTAAATAATTTATTTTTTATATATTCATCTAAGACGAATGTTTGCCAGATTTAGGGCTCTATACATTTCTATAATGTTTTCATCGTTATGTTCGTTACGCTGGCAATTTTTCCTGCAATCCAAGTACACATACGTGAACGAGCTGGATTCGTAATTCCGCGCCAATATTTCACCTTAATATTCACTTTCCTATCTTTCGCTTTCTTTTCAATGATCGGTGCACTGGCGTCGAAATGGATACTATGGGTAAGGATGCCTTAATTTCGCCTGTTACGTCTTTCTTTCATTCGTAAAGAAAATCGTAGCAATTTTTTTTCATTTCAGCCATCACCTGATAAATTAGTTTATTTGACAACTGCACGTCTGCTATTTATACCATTTTTTTTGGCTTGCAATTATCGTCCTAATACTCGTCGGTGGCCCGTAATTTTTGAAAATGAGTGGTTATTTATTGTTGGAAGTATTTTTATGTCATTAAGTGGAGGTTATCTCAATACGGTTTCAATGATTAATGCTCCACGGTTTGTGTTCCTTTCAGAATTTTCCATTAAAAAATTGAAATAATTCCGTCTTTAACAGTATTTTTTGCTATTTTTGGCTTGGATGGCCGCAGTGAGGAAGGACAAACTCGAAACATAGGTAAGCCCACACTGAGATTGCCAATGGGATTTCATTTTTAACGATTTTTATGGCAAAGTGGCAGCTCCACGATGCTTTTTAGCCTCCACATAATATTCACCGACCATCAACCGCTAATTCTGCTTAATATTGTAAGAATATTCCGACATTCTAATGAATACTCAAGATTAGAAGCTAGATTCCAGTTGTTGGACTATTTTCAAATCATTTCTCAAAAGCATCTATTATACTTTTTCAGAGTTGTTTCACCTTTAAAATCAAGAAGTGCTGGTATGCTTAGCTCATTTGCGCTTGCACTGGGTAAGTAAGTTCTTTTCGCACCAAATCCCACCTATCACTTCTCTTTCTTCTTTAGATATTAATTTTAGGTATATGTATGGGAGTGATTGTTACTTTTGTGGAAGTACATATCATTGAAGATTTTGGTCCATTAAAACCGGATGCAATTAATAATATTACGACTATTATTTGGTATTAATTTAAGAATTATCGAACTACATTTTAATGAGAATTTCCTTTTCTTCCTAACCTTAATAATTTATTGTCTTTAATTAAACCACTTTGAATTTCACTCGGACTACTCGGTCAGCCATTTGATAATTTAATATCCATAAACTTGCACAATGACATTATTCCATCCATCAATTGTTGCAGGTTGATAGCGTAGCAAAAATGAGACATTTTATATTTTTTTAAGGGTACAAAACATTACCTTTTACTAATCAACCAAAAGATTTTTTTTTTTTAAATTTAATTTAATTTCAGTTCAATAATTTAATTTCAGCTGAATGACGAGAATCAAAGAGATAATTTTTTTAATATTTTTTATTTATTATTATTCATAATGAAAAAACGTCGCAAAGATAGGAAGGCAAGAAAACAATGCAGAAAGCTAACTAAATCCACTCACTGGCCGCAAGAAGTGCAAAATTACGATGATGGTAAGGAGCAGATGACAATCTCGATATGTCTAATATTTAAAACCTTTATCTAAACTTATTTTTATAAGAAATGAGTGAAAAATGAGTGATTGTTCAACAGCACAAGTAAAAAAAGAACAAGGTTCCAGATGAAACTCAAAGGAGTTCATAGAAATGCATTTGGAGCGATTCGGGTAGTTTATACGACCGGGCCTGCTGGTGAAGTAACATGGCCTAGGATGAAATACAGTTTAAGATCTAAGGCGGAATGGGATGAAGTCTGGCTAATGTTAAGAGAATATAGTTAGAGTTTCAAGGTTCCTCATAAAAAATCGAGTAATAATACTTAATAATACTTTTAATAATAATAATACTAAACTAAAGTATTACTAAAAGTATTAAATACCAATTCTACATCACCTAACTGTCCATTTCTTAATATTCATTATTGTTTCCGAATAAAAATGGTAAATGCTGCGACCTCAGACATAGTCCCCGAACATTGTTAAAATGTGAATGAGAGAATGACTCGGCGCGGTCATGAATCTATTTTCTGAAAAATAGAAATGCGTAGAAAATTGAAGAATTGAATATAATTAAAATTATAATTAAAGTGAATTTCGCATTTTTATAAATGCGAAATTATTATTTTATTCTTGTAATACCAAACACATTTCAGTAATGGAGCAAATATTGAATGCCAAAAATACTGAGCATAGACAAACAATAATAATAATTTTCATATTCCTCTTTCCAGCCAAGTCGTTTCGTTCTATTAATAGTCAGTGGAACGCGTCTGATCTGTGATAAGTGCTGACCACTTTTATTAATTATTTACAACATGCGGGTTCGACCGACGCCCTACATAAAATTTGTTGTATATTTCTAGCAGCCGGCGAGACTGTCTATTTGAATCACCACTGATCACCCAAGGATAATGAACACAATAATAATGATAAATAAATATGAGGAAATCTAACTTGATAAATATAGCAAATATAGTTAAAATTAAAAATTAGAAATTGAAATTTACCTTGACCATGTAAGCATGAAGAGAATTTTTTTAATGGAAATTTCGCAATGAATGATTTACAAGGTTCATGAAAAGTACGAATCAACTAACCTGTGCATCTGCTTTTGGCCACACTGCGTTCAAGAACCATCGAGCTGCTCCGAAAACTTTAGTTGTGCCATAGCTCGCAGATCCAAAGCTGCGTGTTACACCGCAGTTGACTATAAATAAGAAGAATCTGCAGTAAGGTTCCAAAGCAGACCATTAAAGAAGGGAACCGGACGGCACCACAGACCAAGAAACAATTCTACCCCTGTCAATTCTTCGACCATAGCAAATCATTCCAATATTCAACAAGCAAATTCAACAAGAAAACATCAATATTTGCCGAAAATTAGTAATAAAGTCTGAAAAATAGAAATCAAGGATTTTATTTTTGTTCTCATTTCTTTATTGATGTCCTTGGGTTTTTGTTTTCGAATTGGCTTGGGGTGTTTCTTTCACAAATTCTCATTCCAAATTAGCCATTTCCATCGATTCTCAACATTTTAAGATTTGAAGATTTTGAAACAACGAAACTCGAAGGTTTTTATTTATTAAGGTTATTTTCAAATTTTCAAATTTGTTTTCGGATTCCGTCACTTATAAATAACGTAGATTAGTCATTTCAAAAGCCAATATTTCAAAAAATTAAAAACTTTTAAATTTAAAAAATTTGATGATAATTTGCTAAGGCAGAAGCCTCGAAAAGGCGGAAGGCTTCTGTGAATGATTGCGAAAGATTACGACAGAAAGGCGTAGATTAGTAGAAGAGCTTGCCAATCCGCATGGTAGCGTGTGAAATCATTTTGCGTGCAGTGAGGGGAAGAAAAGCCCGGTAGGTGGGCACCTTGCGAGTTCACCGATCGCCAGTTGAGGATTTCGCCTGTAAGTCGATTGTTCGCCGCTAATACCACATAAAAGCGATTCTTTGGACTTTTAACTCCAAGAAAAAATGGATTCTATACGAAGGAAAGGTCGGCGCTGGACAAGGATTTCCTTGATGCATACCAAAGTCCAATCTCCACAATGGTGTGCTGGAAGTTTGATCCGACTCATGACTGATGCACAGCAGAGAAAGAACTGGAAATAATCCACTAGGAATAATGAATATGGAAAGGACATTTCCCATCATTCTGCTTCATAGCCCACAATGATCAAAATTTGCCATGTTGAATATCGAGGACTCTCGTCCACTATATTCGTCAAAGCTGTCAGGTAGTTCCACTTTCGACTGCTTCTTCAGAGAGAAACACCTTCGGAAACAGGGCATAAAAAAGTCTTCCAGCGATTGGTTGGTTCCAGAAGCTCGGATTATTATGCGAATGAAATAAGTGCATTTGTAACAATTACATTGGCAAATATACGATCGGACATTGTATTATGGATAATTCAGTTTATAATTTAATAAAATGAATAAAATAGGTTAAAATTTTCTGTTTTTATCCTTAGCATTAAAAGTATGCGTTATTTGCATTTATAAAAGTCGGCCCCTTGCAACCTCATTATTTGTTTTCCAATACTGGTGGTTCATTTGGAATTCAAATGGTAGGGATCAAATCAAATTTGATTTGAACCAGATTGAGATCAGGTCAAATTCAAGTCGAGTAGAGCGGAGATGAACTGTGGCCGAATCGAACATTGTTTTCTTTCTCATATTTTCTTTTAGTTATGGTTTATGCGAAATCGGAAGGAGAAGTTACGAAGCTAACTGCAGTCGTAATAGCGGATAGTTTTGATCGTCGATTTTCGCCTATACTAGCACAGAATAAGTCGATGGTAAATTGAAATTCATATTTATTACATTTATCATCATCATCGAATAAATCCTAAAAATTTAGAAAAATACTAAAATATGGGTGAAATATTATTTTCATATTTACACCTCTTCAGTAATTTAATGTTGAATCTATAATCTTGAATTATAAAATATGAGATGAGATATGAGTTATAAGATCCACTGATACTATTAATCGAAATTCATATCTGTAGTTTTATTTAAATTTTATATTTAGGGTGCATTTAAAATTTGCAATATCGAAATTCTAAATTATACGTTCCAATGGATTGCATGGACTGAAATTCAGGACGTTATCCTGGCAATATCAAATGATCGAAAAGAAAGCCTAAATTCCATAGTTAAGTTAGTTCTTTGTACTTTTTTTATGATCCAGCTAATATTTTTTCTGATTCTTCTGTATTCTATTTTTCAAGTCCATTTTATTTTCACTTTGCATCTTTTTCAGATATTGGCGAGGAATTTTCGACTCCTTTAGGTTATTGGCATCTCCGAATTGTGTGAGTGTTGGAGAAGTAATTCGTGAAATAAATGGCCGAGGGCTTATTACAAGTGATTTTATTTTGATAGCAAATCCAGCTACGTTTTGTTCTACAGATCTTTGTGCACAGATTGCGACATTCAAGTTTGTTTTATAATTTTTATTGTTTTTATTGTTTATTGTTTTCATATCTTGGTCTGTTTAATGTTCAATTCGTCGTCGCTATATATTTATATTTAATTATAAATATAATTATAATTATATTTACATTATATTTTACAATAAATAAAAAAATCCAATTATTCCAATTATTTCGCATTATAGGGAGCGAAGAAGGGATCGAAAAAATGTTTTGACTTTGTTATACACTTTAAGTGATACTGTAAAACCGTTTATTGTTATTGATCCTATTACAATGAAATTACTGGCATTTCATCACGATGATGACTCTTATAAACTGGAATTTGATAAGGTTATTTTAATATAGCTTTTCAAATAAAGTGGTTATTAATGCAGTTTTTTGAATTTTATTTAAAACCCTAATAATCTGATTATTCTATTATTATTAATTTATTTAACTTATATTTAATTTATTTTACATTGATTACTTAAATTTTCGAAAAAATGGAAAATTTTCAAACTTTTTTTGATGAAGATATAATTTTAATATAATTTTTAAACTGTCAATTCTTTTAATTCTGTGATCTAATATATAATTATCGCAAAGAATAGCCGAAGCCAATTTTCGATTTGAATTATAGTGATTGTTTTGACAAGAAAAATTTGAATTTATTTTATTATGGATATTTATTACAGGTTTATTTTATTTTATATAATTTGTTACAACCTAATTTGCAATTTAGAAAAAATTACAGAAGAATTTTCTCGAAAAAGATAAATCCATTCGCTCGGATCTGGAAGATACTGGAATAGCTTTGTGCTCTGCGAGTATTGCTAGTCAGTTCAGTGATAATTTCGATTTTCAGCATCGTGATGATATTATAAGGGAATTGCTTGTGAATGAAGAAATTTTAGGCCAGAATATCCACATCGATATTCTTCCAATTGATACACCTGCATTTAGAATTTGGCATGTTTCACTAATACTTTTTAATAAAATTAATTATTAGATGTTTTCTTTTTGAAATAGAAAAAATTGCTTCATCAATAGATTTTTTCAGGATTCTAAGCAACTCATATGACCATCTTGATTTCTCAAATATGTATATTAAAAACTACATTTTAGCGATTACGATGATTTCGTGCGAGGAACTAGATTAATCGCTCAACAATGGCTTATTCCTTTTCCTAATATTGTAACAGATGAAAATTATTTTTCGTATCCGAACAACATTTTCATCTCTGGAAGCTTAAGTGCTAATGGTGATGATGATAGTAAAATAAATTTAGCAAGGTTCCTCCTTTCTTTAAATTTTTTTTTCTTTAAATAGCAATATTCAAAATAGCAATATTCATGATTTTTATGTGCAGTGTTGGTCCCAATGTGGTTATTGGTCGCAAATGTGAGATCGCTCCCGATGTTTTACTTAATGCGTCATCTATTGGCGAAGGTGCCAAAATCGGTCATTATTTACTCTTATCGCTTTGTAAACGTAAAAAAATTGCGATTATTAAAAACCCAAGGATCTATTTTCCTTTTTTGTTTGGGAAATCAAGATAATTGAATGTTTATTGGTCAGAATTTTATTTGCGTCAAAATTTGTGCTGGTATAAACCTATCATTAAAAAATCTAGTGTTGCTTAGTTACTCTTCTACTTTTATCCTTATGTTATTGGCAAAATTTCTACTGTTTCTCTCTACTCTCTATTTTCAACACTAATGAAGCACTAATCAGAAATAATCAGAAATAAGAAATTATTTAATTATTTAATTATATAGTTTAAGGTAGTGGAACCAATATATCGATGAGTGCTATCGGTGAAAGCGTTTTAATAGGAAATAGTACGAAAATTTCGTGCTCCTTTATTGGTGATGCTGTTTCAATAGGTGATAAAGTTACTATAGAACCACATTGTGTTATTGGTCACGGTGTTTGTTTTTGATGTTTTCATATAATTATCTAATTATATCTATGTTTTGGATGTGTGCTGTTTTGTTATATAGCTAACTAATATTTCGTATTAACTTTTTTTAAAAATGTTTTTAAAATTTCTGTAAAAAGATATATTTAATCCAGTTATAAATCCTTACTTCAGGTTGAAATTCCTTCGTCAACTCTAGTCAAATCAGGAAGCGTGATATGTAGCAGTGACTTTCGGATTGAAGATGAATTTTTTGTTTCTGAAAATACTTCAGGCCAGTATTCATAAAGATCTTTCCTTTTTCTATTCTTTTTTTCAAGCTTCCAAATTGTATTTGTGTACCATATTTTTGAATTGTTATGTTTTCTTACTTTCGTACCGATTTCATTTATAAAGTATATATCTCTATATCTTTATATATTGCATATCTTTTTTTTATCCATAAGAAAGGTTTCTTATTTCTAATTGCAAAAAAGTTATGCACAAAATTACAGTCCGTCATTATTCTGCTAATATTCTTTCGTTTTCTTTCATTAATATCTTTAAATTCCATCATTTTTTCTTAAAAGTCCTTTATTTTACTTCATAAGAAGCAATAATGCAAAGCAACTCATATCTACTCTCGCATGCCATTATTCTTTCTTAAAGTCTCCTTTTAAAGTGTCATTAAATTTTCTCATCCATCTCCCAAGGCTTGCTATATTCCTTTCGCATATTTTACTTTTTCTCTGTCATGGAATGGGCTATCTATATATTTATTTTATATTGTTACATGATTGCAGTTGGATGCATATTGCGTTTTGCCGACGAAAAAGATTTTTGGTTTGCATGCAAGTATCATCCAAAAAATGGATCTTCTTATGCTGGTTGGTGTTATTTTTCTCCAATTTTTTTTTGTTTCTATCCAAATTTATCTCTCTTATTATTTTTATTATCCTCTATTTTAGATGAAGATTTGCAAACATTTGAAGATGCTTCTGATGATGAACTGAACATAATAGAAAGGTTTTTCGAAGAGGTTTGTTTCCTTACCTATAATCCAATTTAATCCTATTTTTACCAAATTATTTTGCTTTTCAGGTAAAAGAGAGCATGGAACGAATAAGAGGGGTCAAGTTCAGTGATCAATTAATAAAAAATTTAATTCTTGAAATAAATAGTTCAAAGCTTGCTTACAATATCAGTGTGGATCAAGTGGCGTATTACGTTTTCCTTGCATTCTTGCACATTCATCGTGATAGTTCTTTTGCGGATATTCGAATAGTTCGTTTTTGTTACTCCTTACATTTCTGAACAATCTCAAAATGGAATTTGATTTTCCATTTTTCTTTGTCTTATCTTATTGTGTTTTAGTATTCGGATATCATATTTATAATCCTCATTTATTTGTTTAAAAAAGATCAAGCAGAGGGCATTATCGTGTATTGTGAGATATTTGTTTGATTTATTTTTTTTCCATTTAGATATCATATAAATGGAAAACTTTATTTACGAATTATTACAAGCCAGTCAAAAATCAAATTCAGGCTCTTGCAGCTATGGAGGTGTGGTTTATAATTTTTGTTCTTACGCTAGATGATAGTCTTGTGGGACCTTTTCAGCAATGGGCTTTTAGGAATCAGAAATTCGATATTATTAAAAAAATTCATAGTTATTTCATCTTATATTATTTAAGATTTATTTATTATATTATTTATATATTTATGTCTTTATATTTTTCTTTCTGTTTAAAAAAATGATCAGTAACTGAGTGTAATAATTTTTAGGAATATTTAAGTACAACACCAAATTTCAAATCTTTACTAGCAAAGACAGTTCATATGTTTTACGAATCAGATATCATTGAAGAAGACGCGATTCTTAGTTGGTATGAATCTGTAGATTCCAATTCATCTATTTATGAACTTGTGAAGCCCATTGTTTCTTGGCTTAAGGAGGCTGATGAAGAAGATTCAGATTGAAGATAGAAAATATTTTTTTGTTCTTTCTTATTTATTCTTATTTAGATTGGATAATATTTAAATTGTTTTAAAAAATGATTTATGAAATGAAATTTTGTTTTGAATGCATAAAAGTATATCTTTTTGCTTGTGAGGATTGTTGCTGCATGGAATGTCCACTATATATAAATATATACAAAATATTTTGAAATCTGACAATTTATGAGAATAAAATTTATAAAAATTTTAAAAACTGAAGAGGTTTTAATTAAATTATTTGCAAAATCATTTAAGAGGATAATTTTAAAAAGTAAATTAAAGCATAATTTCTGTTAAACAACTTTCTGGTTAAACAATTACTAATGTAACAGATGGAACACTAAGATATCTGAGAATCATATGAGGGTAGAAGTACAAGTGGGTGCTAAGTTTGGATTTTTTGATGGTAAATTTACTTCTACGAGAAGAGATAAGGAGATAGAGTGCTAGGCTACTCATTAATCTTAATAGTGTCCGCCCGGGTATTCTATCCCTAATAAATTTATTAAAATTTCGAAAACTTGAGTAACGTCTAATGACCTTGTCATGAATCGATTTCAAAATCGCTTCATTGGGGATAAAGTATTTTTTAGAAATTGAGTTTGCTTTTATTTTATTGTATCTAAATATGTGTTTGATGATGTGTTTGATGATTGTTTTTAAAAAAACAGGAAGACGTTAGGATCTATTTAAACGATGACGAATAGGATCTATTTACACGATTTCAATGGATCAGTGCGCCGTAATAAAATGCAAGAAGCGATGTTTCGAGACATGGTAAAGAACCATTTTCCAAGTTAACCATTCATATGTTTTTTAAATTGCAGAATAACTTTTCAAGTACTATTTTTTAGCGCCAAAAAGAAGATTTTATGGAGAAGTTGGCAAGAAAACGTACTCAGAGGCAGTTGTTATCCAAGTAACATTTCAATGAGCAGAAATTTATCTGATAGTTAATATTGTTTTCTGAATATATTGTCAAAATTTTTATTACTGATAAAATTATTAGTCATTGAGTTATTTTTTAAGTGAAAGTCGAAGAATATCGTGACGATCTTGGGCATTTATAAGCAATTTCTCGCTCGTATAGAATTTATCTTTTATTTCAGGGAAAAGTCAGCTGCAGTTAAGATTCAAGCCCATATTCGTTCCTACATAGCTCGCAAAAAATTTCATTTATTTTTGCGAAAAAAATTTGATGAAATCGATAAAAAAATTGGTAAAAATGCGAATGACTTAACTTCGCAGCTCATTTATCTACTTTTCTTTTTTCAGCCCATGGTCGATTGTTCACGAGCGGTTTGTTTCCTATCCTCATGTTTTTTAGCGATTTTTAAAAATATTTTCTGTTTTTCTTTATTTGAATTTGAAAAATCGGTTTAATTGTAATTCTTTTTTGAAATGCTTTTTTAATTAAAGACTCTATAGACTTGTAGACTTCTTTTATTCTATTCTACATTTTTTTTTTCGTTTGAAGGCGATTTCAGATCTCTTTATGTCGTAATATTTTATTTCGAACTCACGATCTGTCATTGACGATTTGGCGTCGTCGTCAGTTGCTTCGATGTGTTACTCAAGCCATTAAGTCAGCAACTAGCCAAATGCCATATGTAGCTTTGTTGCGTTGCATGGAAGAATTTCTTGATATAGAGAATTGTTCTTGGGTTATATACAATGGATTTTATTGTTCAGTCATTAATCTTTTTGTTGTCTGCTATCGTTGGCAAAGTTAGCTTTCTTTTTTTCGGATTCAGATTAATTCGTAATTTCTCATTTTTTATTGTAAGAGATGACGAATGCGAAATTTTTACGATTTCTTTTGTTACCGTTAAATAATTAATCAATTTATGGAATTAGTAATGGAAGAGCGTTTGCAACCACGTGCGGAATCAATTCTTCGTTTTCTGCTGCTTCCAATTCGTTTATCAACGACATTGAGGTTTTACCAGCTTTTCTTATTTCAATTCATTTTCCATTCAGAATTTAAAAATTCCTCTGAATGGTTTTCATACTGTTATTTTCTCAGATATTGCATGCTAGGTTTTTACGAACTTATGTAAAAATTTTTTTGCATATAAATGTGAGGAATGGACCGATTTATTGTGGAAAATAATTGTGAATAATTTTTACTAGTAGTATTAATTAATCTTTTGTAGTAAAATTTTTTCAGGCATCAGTTTATATCCGACCTATTAATTGCATTATCACGTTCTCCACTTGAGATGCAAACATCAGGATGTATTGCTTCTTTTATTTCTCGAACTGTAGAGGAGAATCTAATTTTGATAGATGATGTTATCATTTCATTATCACTGAAGGCATACAGTAAATTGAATCCTGTTGAGCAAATTCGTCTTTCTTACTATCTTTCAGTGATTATTTCTGTCAGCCATAGTATGTTTCCATAGATAATATTGGTTAATGGATTTAAAAAATGAATTATTTACAGCTCTTTTTAGTCAATTAATCTTCTAGACTTTAATTTTGCTAAAATTGAACTTTCCCTCATTTCTTTTTTCAGTCATAAAGTCTCTTAAAAACATATAAAAATTTATCATTCTTCAATTTTATGTAACCATCTCTCATGGTTTGAATTTATTTTGAGATAACATTTTTGTTTCGTAAATGTTATTTCAGAGAAAATATCCTTGGAGAATCGAATATGGCTTCTTATTGCTTATGGCGAACTGTTGGAGCCATTTTTAAAATCCTTTCTTAATGATGGTAGTTGCGATAAATATTGGAACATGGCTTATGAACTGAATTGGATTAGAGACTGTGAGGCCAATTCTCTTTATGATATTTCGAACAGCAGCGATGATGATGAAGAGATTACTATTGTTGGAAATGATGAAGATAATGATCCCTCTACAGTAATCTTCCATTAAATGATATTTATTTGTGTTCCATTCAAAATTAAATTGCTTCTTAAATTAATTTTTTTATTCATTCATTTTGTCATTCATTTTAATTATTATTCGGCTTTTTATCTGAATTTTTATATTTTTAGTTTAATGTGTATTTTAAATCGATTGTCGAGGCCTTGGCGAACAAAATTTTACCCGATATCTTTGAGCAACATGTTGTATTAAGAGATGAGGGAATAGCGGCATTATGCACATTATTATTTTCTTTTCGATATTCACCGATTCCGAATTTCGAATATCTGTTTAACTTGTTCAGTTCAAACCACTTACTTCTTTCATTATGGCATTATATTACTGTCCATTTTATACAAAATTTTTCTATACCACGTGGCTCTCCGTTTTCGCAGTTAAAGGTTTATTCTTTTTCAAAATTCTAAATTTGTTTTAATTTATATATATACTTTATACATTTGTACTTTTTTGAGAGCGAATTTCCTGTGGGAGATCAGTTTTTAATTATTTCTTCAATTTCACTTTTCGTTGATTTGTTGTTGTACGTGCTTCAAACGGTTGATGATGACGACTTTTGTTATGGCGGAAAGCCATGTTCAGCATTACCTTTCACAATTGACGACGTTGTTTCAATAGTCAAGCAATTTAGGTCTGAATTTTATTTTCATTTTTTGAAATTCTTTTTTAAATTTTTTAAATATCCCATTTTTTAAATTTTATTTTAGAATAGTGCATAAGTTTATTGCTGTTGTCGTCATTTTTTACCCATAAGAAAAAGTACCTTTAAAACCGTTCATCACCCTCTTAGAAAAAATTTCAATTTTTATAATTATTATATTTACAATTTTCCAAAAATAAATCTTAATCGTAACTTTTCTCTTATAAAAATCTTCAAATTCATCATTCATTTTTATTCATCCCTCTCAAGATTTATGCTATGGTTTTAAACTTTTTTTTGGTGAGAAGTTTTTTTAGTATTATTTTTTAGTATTTTTAGTATTATTTTGTTCTGAGATCATATAAGGAAATAATTTATAGACCAATTCAAATTTTGATTTTTTCAGAGATGTAGCTCTTATTCTTATTAACATTGTATTCCCTACCTATATATTGCCTGATTCGACTAAATCGGCTTGGAGATTTGTTTATTTTCTTATTTTTAAAGTAATAATCTTTTTTATTCGTTCATATTTTTTTTGATTTTTTTGATTTTTGATTAATTGGAGATTTAAAAGTTGTCTTTTGAAAATCTTAGTTGCTTTGAAAAGTATGTAAAAAAGGTAATGAGTAAGATCTGGTTACTTTTCCTTACAACATGTTTACAGCGAGTTGCGCTTGCACTGAATGCTCTTTATGAACGTGATTCCCGTCTTCATTATATGCCAGATGGCTACTGGTCCAATCATGATCAGTCGTTTGTTGTAAGCCCGGTATATTACATATTTTTCTCAAACATACATTTTTTTTAATGGTTCAAATATTTTTTAGGAAATTTTTCTCAGTAAGTTCGTTTTTCGATTTTTTTCTATGTTGTTTTTGTCGGAATTTTGTGGAATTCATTCGGTATTAAATACCTCGATATTTTTAGGATATCTGCAGCATAAGAATTCAGTTCAAGAAAGGGAAAAAGGCAATCCGATTGCGAACTTTTCAATTTTCCTATGATCATGACAATTTTGAAATAAATTATACAAAATTGTCAGTTGCTAAAATGCGTAGCGTTTGTGTCTTACAAACAGTACCTTTTATATTACCTTTTATTAATCGTCTAACAGTAAGTGTTAATTATTCGATTTTCATAGTTCATATTTCATAGTTCACATTAATTTTGTATTTGCGTGCAGCTGACGATCTGCATTTTTTATTCGTTATTCCACCAAATTTCTGTTTATACCTCATTCAACTTGATTTAATTTTCATATAATTTTTATTCAAAAACGGTGTTAAAAGCTATATTTTCTAAACATATAGATATTTTCAGTATTATTTTGCAGGTGTTCAATGAATTTCTTGCAAAAAGTAAAGCGAATGAGGAAAGTATGTCTTTTTCAAGAAGTTATCTTTATTTTGTCCTTTCATAGGCATCTCTCCCGCGGTTTTTTTTGTAAATATCTTTTTATATCGCTTTTACATATTGCTTTTTTCATAACTCCCCTCCCCTCTCCAGTTCGTTCGAATTTTAAAGAAGCACAAATGGGGATTCAAGTCTCCGCGTAATCGTCTTACAATAAGTAAATATGTTGTTTTCGATTTTTATGGTTCATATTTCCTAGTTCAAAATTTCTATTTGTTTTTTCAATTTTCTTCTTAGCCACTATGTTATAAAATCAACATATAGTTATGTAATGTTATGTAATTGCAATGGGTAAACTCCATTTTGCACTTTTTATAGTGAATTACAAAGCATTAGATATAAAATATATATATATATATATAGCATTATTAGCATTAAAGCATTATTTCCAGGAATACTTGCATCTTCCTCTTCTTCTTCTAACAGCTCTCACCATTACTGATTAGGCTGGCTCCGCTGGCCACGAGGGTAAGATATCTGCAAACTGCTCGGTTCGACTCCATTCTTTTTTCCATCTTCTAAGTCCATATATCGCTGGTCGCTCTATACGTTCAAAATATTTCTTGATTGTATCAATCCAGCTCTTGATTGTCCCTTCTCGCTTTTAACGTCATCCATCACAGGGTTCGGCAATAGCGAAATATACCTCAATTCCTGTGGTGGACGAAGGAGAACGTGTCCTAACTAGCGAAGATTCTGCTATAACATTAATGTAGGTGGTATTTGAGCGAAGATGGATACAATCATATGCGATTTTATCCACTCGATGGATTCGTAAAATATATTTTAGACATGAGTGGTCAGAAGTTAGCTTGATGATAGCTTTTTAATATTTCCGCTCTCATTGGCCACGTTTTCCAGCCATATAGCAAGATCGAGAGCGAACTACAGTTATATGGACGCAGATTTTCGTCTTCCTGGTGATTTCGCGTCAGTTCCATAGAGATTTCATCAATCGAAAAAACACTGTCTAGTTGTTGTTATTCGGGTTGCAATTTCATTGACTCATTTTCATCCTTTGCCTGGCCATTTGGGATTAGAGTGGATCCAAGGTATTTAAAGTACTTCACTTCTACAACCGGCAATGAATTGAAAGGCGAAACAGTTTCCTATTTTCATCTATCCCAGCCGTCGTCTCCGTTCTCAAGACCTTATGGCTCCAATAGCGATTTCTGTCCCGCGCTGCTGTCGTTGTAATTCTTCGAGCACTCGAGCATAGTCAGGATCTCCTGACATTCCGGCTTTGGCAGCTTTTTTAGATAACTGGACAATTGTTTCCGAACACCTAGCACATTTTCTACTAGAATATCCTATTGTGGAAATGAATAGTTGCGAATAGTAAATATCAGTAACTAAATTAATAATTAAAAAACCAATTCAAATTAAAAAATTAATAAAATAAAAAAAAATCGTTCAAATTGCAAATAAATGCTATGAATTATGTTATCGATTTCACGTCTCTAAAGTCATTTTTTTTTATTGCGTTCTTTTTGCTATTTTGATCTAACTTAATTCACATATTTTCTCTTTAAAGCTGACCAATTCACTCTATCTTTTACGTTATAACCAATCTTATAACAATTCTTATAATGCAATCAGATCCCTTACAGTTTTTTCTGTTATTCAAATGAATATCTTGGAATAATTGTCGTAAACTACCACTTACTATATTTTTATGTTAATCAAAATTATTTATATATATTCATTATGAGATATGAATTCAAGATAAAATCTTTGCTGTTGGACTTCGTTGACGACACTTAAGCTTTGTCTTGCTATCGTCTGTGCCAAATTTCTCCATAGTGGCTCACTTTTGTAGGCATATCTGCAGTTGGGACCAGTATTCATTCGTCGTTCCAGAGATGATATCATTGACGTGTCATTGACGTTCATTTCACTGAGATGTTTCAATAGTGCGCTTATTGTTCCCGGATCTTTTAATTTGAAATAATTGAAAGATACTTTGTTTCTTATTACTTGTCAGTTTTATGCGAACCATAATATGATCTGGTCCATGGCGATCATCAGTTTTCAGTACGTAAGAACTATCAAGTGCAGAACTCTTCCAGCGGTCAATATATAGTCTATATGATGGAATATTGGTTGTCCAGAGATTTCCACGTGATGTTTTCTCCGATGCCGAAGCCATGTATTAATAGTTCATACTTTTCGGCAAAACTAAGGCATTCTCCATTGGCCACATTTGCCAATTACCGAATTCATGGTAACGGCATCATGACTTACACGTTCATTCCATTACATTCCATTCTCCTTCGATTATGACTATATCACCTCTCGGTAAAGATGTTGTTAATAGTTGAAGCTCCGCACAGAACTTATCCTTATCGCGATCATCTACGCGTAAGAAGCATATACTTTGATTTGATCGAAATATTACAGAATCCTGGATCCCTGGATCCTTGCCATATTTGTCCAACGAGATAAGCCATCGGAGCGAGTTTATACTGGCTTCCATTCCATCAGAGCGGATCGAGCCTTTTCAGAAATGACATTCTCTGCGCCACTTCGAATTATCTAAGACACCACAGTGATATAGCCAATATCTTTGTTCGAAACCAGGTTTAATAATTATTCAAAGGCCGACATAAGGAAGATGGACCTCAGACAAACAAACCACATCCACGCAGTATTTAGAGAGGGTGTGGACAGTGATCGCTTGGCTTGCAACATTCATAATCATAATCGTTCATAATCGTTCTGACGTTCCAAGCAGCTATAACCAGCACCTCACCGCGCTTGCAAAGTGAATAGTTCTCTTCTCCTTTGACGTGTTTTGAGTACTTGTCTCGGTTCGTGAACAAATTCTGTGTTTGTGCTTCGGGCTTTTATTATTATTATTACGCACGGGTTGTATCGCATGTACCACCTAATTAGAAGTAGCTTGCGCGTCGGAAGACGCGGACATCGCATCAAAATATTTTTTACAATTCAAATTATAAATCCAAATTCTTAAAAATTCACCAAATTTTATTTGCTGAAACATTTTAATTCTGCTTTAGATAAATATTATTTATGTTGTAGACCATTTGGGTTATGATTTGATTATTCATCGTGCTACATTGTATGAGGATGCCTTTCATGCAATGAGACCTTCAACAAGTAATTTTTATATCATTTAGAAAATTTTAAATATTGGGCGATTTATATTAAACTTTTGGTTTATGTGTTTCTTATCGTTTTTTTCACTTTATCGATATTTAGAAAAAATATATTTTAGTGCCAAACTTACGTGCATTTATTCGAATAAATATGGTTAATTGGGTTGGAATGGATGAAGCTGGTATAGATGGAGGTGGAATATTCAAGGAGTTCTTGTGTGAAGTAATCAAAACAGCCTTGGATCCATCGCGCGGATTGTTTGCAGCCACGAAAGATCATTTCTTGTATCCAAATCCCTCGGCATCTACCATCTACCCAAATGATTTTCAGGATCATTTTTATTTTGTTGGGCGTCTTATTGGCAAGGCTAATTTTTTCCCATTTTTATACATTGCTATTTAAATATCCCTTCCTTACAATTTTATCTTTAAATGAATTTAAATGATCTTTAAATGATTTTATCTTTAATTTCCCATTTTTTTCTTTTGTTCAGAAATTTATGGATTTAAGGCATTTTCGCAAATTTCTCAACATATTTTTTTCAGTTAATATATGAAAAGTTATTAATTGATGTGCGTTTTGCCGATTTTTTTATTGTTCAATCTTTTAAATCCTTTGATACGAATCTTCTCGATTTGGAATATATCAAAACCTATGATTCTCAATTGCACGCTAACTTAAAATTTTTGAAAGACTGTTCACCAGAGGAAGTCAATTCACTTGACCTCGATTTTAGTATTCTAACTGATAATCTTGGAGTATTGCAGGTTTGTATAATCAACAATGAAAATATGATAAATTGGGATTTTGGCTTAATGTTTTATGGTCTTTCAGAAAATCGACTTAAAGAAAAATGGTAGCGAGATAAAAGTGAATGCTGAAAATCGTAGTGAATATATTTCGCTCTATGTGAATTATCTTATTTCAAAAGTGGTAATTTCTTATAAATTCAATCGAACGAACCCAAATTTCAATTAATTAAAAAATTATTATTTAATTATTATATTAATTAATAATTACAATAATTTGTTAGTTAATTGTTAATTGAAACTAGTCTTTGAATAAGTTCACTCGTTAATTTAAAAAAGTTGGAATTTTTCATTTTCTGAAATAAAAATGAGGATAAAATTAGAAAAAATCTGACTTAAAACTTTTATAGCTTGAACCTATGATATGTGCATTCAAAGCCGGTATTCGGAATGTTATTGATCCAGGTTGGTTACGAATCTTCTCTGCTACTGAAATTGGAGCTCTTATTGGAGGTTTGGATGCTGATATCGATGTTAACGATCTTAAAAATCATACGAAAGTCCACAATATAAAATGTAAGAATTTCGCAAAGAAACCTGGCTCTGATTTGAAAAAAGTAAACTAATTTTATAGTTTCACACATTTATTTTTTAAATTTGTTTTTATAGCTGATGATGATTTGCTATATATGGATAATTTTTGGCTTTTGATAAATGATCTGCCTTCCGCACAAAAGCAGTTGCTGCTTAAATTTATTACTGGATGTTCTCGACCTCCTCTCATGGGTTTCAAGGTCCGTTTTTTGTTCGCATATTTTTTAATGATGTTGAAATCTTTAAATTTTGTGTTTTATAAATTTCTATGAGAAACTAGTCTTTATTAATAGCTTTAAAAAACGAGTTAAACATTTTGCAATTATATTTTGTCGGTTGAAGGCTCTTTATCCTCCAATGGGCATTCAGCTGATACATGATTCGGATGGATTACCTACAGCAGCAACTTGTTTAAGTCTGCTGAAGCTACCAGTTTATAAAGATACGACAACATTAGCCAGTAAATTGAATATGGCGATAAATTCGAACGCGGGTTTTGAATTGTCATGACCTCTTGTTTTAGAATGTATTTGTTCTTATACTTCTTTGTAGACTTTTTACGTGTGTGTCAGGAAATATTACATACGAATTTAACATATGAGTAAAAAAAAATACCATGGTGTTTCACAATACTAAAGTAAACTTTATTATGTGGTAAATTCATGTTTAACATATCGATAAAAAATAAAGTAAAATGGAACAATTAGTACCACAAAAGGAAACAAAATCAACGCTTAACCCCGTTTTAGCCAATCTATAACATAGAAGACAGTAAAAGAAAAAAAAAATTAATCTATAGTTTTGCAACTGGTAGTACATGTAAAAAATAAGCACTTTTTAAATAACTAAAACATCAAAGAAACGATGGAAAATTTAGCTTTTTTCTAGATGATTCCTAAGTAATGAATAAAACTAGCCAATTTTGTTCAACCAGTCAATATCAGCGAAAGACGACAGTTTTCAATACATCCTTCGGATTTATCTGAATATTGTAAAAGAAAAAATAATCAAAAAACATGTGATTAAGAAAATCTGATTAAATTGAAGTACTATTGAAGTACTAAATAAAATGAAAGCAGAATAATTGACTAAAAGTGAACTACCTCCATTGTAGCTTCTGTGCCATCATTGAATTTATAAGCGACATTTCCATCAATAACTAGATATGCATCGTAGCATCGCGAATGTACTCGTATTGAAGTCGCAAAACCTCTCGAAGGCACCGACTGGAATGTAGCATTATTTACTGGGTCTCGTATCATATATGCCATTTCTAAAATGAATTTCTAAAAATTAAAAATTTGTTAAATTAAGAAAAAGAAAAAGAAGTTAAGAATAAAAGCTCTGAAAAAATCTTTGTTTACAAATTGAAAAAGGTTATTGAAAAAGGAAAAAAAGGTTATAGTTAAAAGACAAAATCAGATTTAAAAAAAAAGAAACGAATAATCAAAAAAAACTCACTATGAGCTTCAGGTGAAAAAATTAACCGATTATTATATGAATTACATATAGAATTCACGATATGAGGATCATCTATTGGGAATGAAACTTTCAGAGTTTCGGAAGCTGCAGCTAGAACTTCGCGAACACATGTATCTGTTAATCTATTCGCATTAAAAAACCACGAAGTTGAACCAGTACCTGAAAAGTTACAAGGAGAGTGTTCAATAAATATAATTATAATACAAAAACAGAATAATAAAACGAAAAAATAAAGTAATTAAAAATATTTAACGTATACAAAATATAATTGTTATTATTATAAAATACGATTTTACGACATCTCAGCAAAAATTTTTACTTCCCTGGTACTCAACAGACTTATGGAAGTACGAAACAGCAGGATGCGCTTTAAGCTGGTTTCAGACTAGGCCGCGGTTATGCTAACCAGATATTCACGTTAAGAAGGGTGTTGGAACATCGCTTCAAATATTTGCAACCCACTGTCACGTGTTTCATCGACTTTGCGGCTGCCTTTGATTCAATTGATAGAGCAGCGCTTTGGAGAGTGATGGAACGTGACGGTGTTCCAGAGAAAATCATTAGACTCATAAAGGCATTTTATGAGCGCATGTCGGCGCAGGTCTGTGTATATGGGGAAATTCCTTCGAAATAAGAACAGGTGTCCGTCAGGGCTGTATCCTTTCCCCCACAATATTCAACTGTGCGATAGACTGGATAATGGACACTGCTTGTCCACTCAAAAAGGTATCCGGCATCATATCACAGATCTTGAATACGCTGATGATGTAGTCCTTTTTGCTGACAGTTATAATGAAATGTAAGTAATACTAAATAACATGTTAGAAACTGCAAGAAGAATCGGACTCAGGAGCAATGTAAACAAAACGAAAATCTTTTCGTCTTATGTGCAAGAAGCTGATAAAATGTCTCTTTTTGTAAATTCATTGCCGGTTGAGCAACCTGATTTCAAATACCTTGGGTCCACTCTAATACCAAATGGACAGGCAAAAGATGATATTATAACTCGGATCACGGCAGCTAGAAATGCGTTCTTCCGGTTGACGAAACCTTTATGGAATCGTCGTGAAATCACCATAAAAACGAAAGTTCGCATCTACATTGCCGTGATC